TCGGAAATTGACACACACAAATACCATAATTTCTATGGTATTATTTAATTTTATAATTTTCTTGGAAAAATCATTCTAAACACGTTATTTTTTTTTCTCATAAAACAATTAAAAAAACCAAGTTGCCAAGCGTGTTTGGGGTTCCTTTTTAACGTTTTTTTTTTAGGAAAATTTACCCATAAATCCTATTTGCTGAAATGTTGAACCATTTAGTCCTAAATGTTTTCCTATACTCCATTTAGTCCTATTTGATATCTTGATTTTGGGGGGTTTAATTTAATCCATTGCGTTTTTACGTCAATACCCTTTACCTGAATATTTCCTTGAACAATTGTTGGTGAATTCAATTGAGTTTCGTAATGTTCAACTTATTGTGGGGATGTTTCTGGGACACCCAAATCGGTGAGCACCATTTTTTCTCTAGCATTTACGATGCATTACAACTGATTTTCTGCAATCAACGTGTTTGTTGTTGTCGTCCACCATTTCGGTTTCATTACCATTGTTTTCCTTCATTTACATTGATTCCACCATTGTTTTCATGGAGGCAGAATACCGTGAGAGGTCTCTTTCCGTTGGTCGGCATCATCTTCCCCAGAGACCATCATTTTTTCTGTAGCATTTACGATGCATTACAACTGATTTTCTACAATCAACGTGTTTTAGTGGGGATGATTGTTATTGGTTAACTTTTTTTTCACCATTTTTGCGATTTCTCATAGACGGTTATTTACGTTCTGACTCCGTAACAGTTTCTTTCATTATTATGTATTTTGATTGACATTGTTTTTGATTCTTTATTGTTGTTGTCCACCATTTCGGTTTCATTACCATTGTTTTTCCGTCATTTACATTGATTCCACCATTGTTTTTGATGGAGGCAGAATACGGTGAGAGCTCTGTTTCCGTTGGTCGGCATCATCTTCCCCAGAGACCATTGTTGTTCTTCGCACTGTAATTGGACATTTCAAGTTGGTGGCTTCCTGCGGTGGCATTGCTGTGTTCAAGACCTTGGGTGAAGGTGTGTTTTTTTTCCAGAATTTTTTAAGTTTCCTCTGATCTGTCTATGGGATGGGTGGGCTGGTTTTATCAATGGGGGGATGGGTCGTTGGTCTTTTTTTTAATTTTTTTGCAATGTTGTGTTTAATCAAACAAACGCACACATACTGTTCTGTTATGGTTGTTTCATGGGTATGTTGCAGCCGTAATGGGTTCTTCAAAATGTGTGCAGGTATGGATGGGGGAATTTTGCTGGTGTGTTCGTATGGTTTAGTTAATGTTCTTATTCGGTTGAATCACGATTCATCGTATGTGAAGATTGTTGATGAAATTTGTGGGAAGTTCGATGGATTGGTACCAGGTGCGGTGTGTTTGTTTTTTGATTTTCCCGGATATAAGAAGTTTAAGGTGGATAGCGACGACGACATTCAAAACATGTTGTGCCTTGCTAAGTCGTTCGGGGTAAATCACATTGAGGTCGTCATTCAGGAAAGTAGTGTTGGTGTGGGTGGTAATCGAGTCGTGTTGGATTTCGCGGACGATGGGGGAATGTCACGGCATGTTAGCGGGAATGAGTTCGTGGATGAGCAGATGGATTTGTTACCAACGTACTGTCCGAACAAATCGAAGACGTTTCTGTCGGCGCAATGGGCGCATGGTATTACCCATGTGGGACAATGTTTTGATGGTGGAGCAACTGAATTCCGCGAAGTTCTGTGTAAGTATGTTGTTGAACGTGGATTTCAATTTAATTATGTTAAAAATGACTCCGTGCGAATTACGGTAGTGTGTAAGTTTGCGGCTTCAACAGATTGTCCGTGGTCAGTTCATGCGAGGATGTTACCATCAAGTGGGGTGTTATGCGTTAAGAGGTTTGATAGTGTGCATACTTGTGGGGCTACTGTACGTACTTCTAGGAACCCTCGTACGGGGTCTGATTTGGTGTCTACCGTTGTTGCAGATCGACTGCGTGATAAGCCATTGACGCGCCCCATTGATGTCGTGTTTGATTTGAAGAACGATTATGGTTTGGATATTAGCTACCGGGTGGCATGGTTGGGTGTTGAGAAAGCTAGGGGCGAGGTGTACGGGGATCACGCTACGTCCTTTGATCAGCTGAGGTGGTATAGCAATTCTGTTATGCAAAAAAACCCAAATAGTTACATTAATCTTGAGTTTGACCCAAAAACCGGGAGCTTTGTTAGGTATTTCATATCATTTCGCGCTTGTATAGATGGGTTCAAACACTGCCGGCCTATGCTTTTTTTGGATGGAACGTTTTTGAAAGGTAGATTTAAAGGGAATTTGCTCGCAGCTACTGCTAAAGACGCCAATCAAGGTAATGGTGTGTTACTTTACCTATTACTGCTTATTTGCTGAACATACTAGTAAATAGATACTTCAAATTTTTATACATTTCAAATGTTTCTTTCCCATTCAACAACGGAAAAAAAATTGAGAACATTGAAATAGGGTCTCCTCAAATAAAACTGAATAGGAATGTAAGACACAGTGGCAGGATTATTCGTTTTAAAATTTTTTAAAATGTGTCGCACTTTTTTGTCATGCCTAACTTTTTATGTTGCATGTTTGGTCTTAGGATTGTTTCCGGTAGCCTTTGCTATTGTTGATTCCGAGAATTCAGCTAATTGGGAATGGTTTCTTCGTAATTTGAAAGAAGTTGTTGGGGGTGGGCGAACATTAACTTTCATATCTGACCGCCACGTCGGATTATTACACTCTATGCCCATTATTTTCCCTTCAGCGCATCATGCATATTGTTTGTTGCATCTGCAAATGAACTTGCGGGATCGAATGAAATATGTTAATGCATCGCACAAAATTGGGTTGATGCGAAAGTTACGGGAATGTGCATATGCACCCACTGTTGCTTGTTTCAATGAGAAATTGGAGGTATTGAAGAAGGCCAACCCAACTGTGATTGAAGATTTTATGAAAGACCTGCACCCCAAACACTGGTCTAATGCGTATTTCAGGTAATTCATGGCGTGCACAACGGGTTATGGCATATTTAAATATTCCCACTTGTTTTTTTTCAGTATGTTCTGCTTTGGTCTTTTTAATTTACGCTTTGTAAATGGGTTTCTTTTTTTAAAAAAAAGGGGCCAACGGTATGGGGAGATGTGCTCAAATGCTGCGGAATCTTTCAACAATTGGGTTGGTGAGGCTCGTCATCTCCCCGTCACGAGATTGGTCGATATGATAAGGGGTCAAATAATGGAGCAGATGTCGGAGCGCAGAGTTAAATGCAGTAAATGGGACAGTGTTATAGCTCCGAAAATGGAGAAAAAATTGGTGGCAGCGTATAACGACAGCAGGGCTTGGTGTGTTAGCCAGGCTAATGATGATGTCTATGAGGTCCACTCCCACCCATCGGTGTTAGTTGATGTCGGCAAGCTAACATGTTCTTGTTTTCAGTGGCAGATCAACGGTTTCCCATGTTCCCATGCTGTGGTTGCATTCCGTAATAGTGGGAGAAACATCTACGATGCCATAGACTCCGCATTTTGCATTGATACATTTCGAGCTACTTATAGCGGAACCATATACCCCATCCCAACAGTGGGGAGGCCACTGTTTAACCCAGCTGAATGTTTGATAGCTCCGCCGACGGCCAAGCGTCCCCCCGGTCGGCCAAAACGGAAGAGAATTCCGTCCAAGGGGGAGGTAGTGCAACGTATACGTTGTGGTCGTTGCGGAAAAGTGGGCAATCACAATAGGAAGACATGCAAAGAGCCATTACAGTTGGGCTGCCATATGATTTAATTTGGTTGTTAACAAACTGGGATTCTGGGTTATTTTGTTTTTTTAAAAATTTTCCTTTTTTTTTTTACATCAGTCATTCACTTTCTGTTATTGGTTTAATTTGTTTTGTAGGATATACATTTTTACGTAATCCAGCAACCATTTCAGTTCCCATTGTTGAACAATTACACTCCACCTTTAAGACCCAACCATTTTAGTGTGAAATATGTTCTGCTTAACACTGTGCAGCCATGAAAATAGCCAGTGGTTGTTATTTTTCAAATCTGTTTTGAATGACATTGTGTACACACGAAAAGAGTCAGTGGGTGCCGGTTTTTGTTTCAAATCTGTGGACATCATAACAGATTTGGAAACCAGTCATCCACTTTATGTTATTGGTTTAATTTGTTTAGTAGGACATACATTTTGGGTCCCCACTATTGAACACTAACACTGCTCCTTTGAAACACAACCATTTAATTCTCAAATCTTGCTTTCATTAACACTGTGAATACATGAAATAAGGAATTGGTGCCGTTTAAGTTTACAAATTTGTTCACATCATACCAGAACATTCACCCAAAGTGGACTCTGCCAACCTGTATCCGGAACGGCAATGGTTTTTTAATGTTTCTGTGGCTGCTTACAATCCATTGTCATTGCACAAAACATGTACCCATTACCAACTGACTTAAAATAAATTGAACACGAAGGTAATTTTATGTTACGCTCAACATGGTATCATCACAATTCTGATTAAGATGGCAATGCGAAATTAATCTTTACTCGTGTCATACTTAGCATGTGGTTGACGTGCTCAGTCTTTGCATGTCCACTTCCATATACATCAAACCACGCATACTCCCGTGGTGGAAAACAGGTTTACCAAATTGAGTGTCATCATGCCCAACTCCTGCATACATCACACCATGTTCACATACCCAGGCCCATCTGCCATTTAAAAACAATGTACTTCACATGACATAAAAGTGTAATGCACTGTGAAACTGTTATTATGCAATAGGTGAGACTATTTGAATAGCTTACTAAATAATATCAACATTCATATCCACAAAATACTGGATCCTAACCCAAGAATAAACTGTTCGCCACTTCTGCATTACCAAAAAAGTAACGTATATGAAACTAGTTTTTGCCTCCTACTTTTATGTGTTTCCAGACTAACAAAACATTATATACGCCGATACGGGAAAAACAGAAAAAAAAACATCCTAATGCTGTTGTTGCAACTTGCGCACTGGGAAATGTCTTCTCAACTTGTTATAATGTCCTCCCACGGAGTCCACTGCCCGGGTCACTTAAGAACATTTCCACCATTGCAGCTCGTAGCCCAGTTGGGGTTAGCCCATCCATCGAAGTATTCACTTCTGCACCACGAATGTACTGCCTGATTATGAAGCACACGAAAATCCCACAATCCGACCTGCAATAACAAACACCGGTGTCAATGTCACTGACGTGATACATCATCAAAACAGTACGCTTCAAATAAAATGAACATTTCTTACGACTCTGGAACTTGTTGTGGGCAATCCACAACAGATACAAAACTGCCATCAAACAGCTGTGCGCCAACAGCTGCAGGTGTAACTCGAGGCTTCACAAATTTGTTGTGGTGATCAGCCACCCATTGTTTCTGTCCATTTTTCACATGTCAGTGCAGTTTTGCCCACAGTAACATTAACATTTTCCACATTGCAATCTGCCCATAATGCACATTGTAAACTGAAATTTGTAAACAGCACTTACCACTTTTAGAGCCTCATTGTAGTGCTCATCGCGCACTCCACGTCTTGGCCGCATCGAGTTGTAATGTTTCCAATTCCCACTTTCTGAATCGCACGCCATGACTGTCCAATGGTTGGCATTGTAGATTGGGATTACTGTGTATCTGCAACCTCGTGCAGCCTTCATGTGAACATTCAAATACTTCGCTCGGGAAACAGCACTACTGTTTCGCATCATATCCTGCACAATTGTCCAAAACCACCATCGGCGTACCAGGTTTCATTATGCAAATATTTTCCAGATTTCAAGGAATCAAATAAAACTGAAGATACATACCGAACAAACACTAGTGTAAATGTACGATGCCCCAACATATTCTGCCCTTCCAGATACCATCTTATGCATTTCAGTCAACATTGCAGCGTACGCATCGATTACCTGCAACATATGTCACCCATTACAACTCCACCACAATAGTAATAACAACTTTGTAAATTTACATTTCCATTTACATATTCTTCACTGTGTTTTAAAATTCATTTGCCGTTTCCGACTGCCACATCACTCAATTCACAAAGGAAGCAACTGTCAGATTTGCATATGTTTTTTAAAAATAATTAAAGAATCACTAAATACTGTACGATTCGTTACACGGAACCAGCTTACATTGCCGTGTATGGAGTTCTGCTGCACCAAATCTTTGATGTCCGTGAAATGGACTTGTATTCCATTGTGTCCACCATCCCACACTATTAACATGCACACCGTGCACCAACATTAAGAACCACCATAGAGCATAGTTTTACAAGTTGTACATGTTAAACAATAGAACATTTCATCCGAACAATGTACCCGTCCCCCTCTAAAGTGTACATTCTTTGTAGTAGTTCCCTGTCTTCATCCTTCACCATGTTCCACACAGTGTGCCGCCTATTCAGACCGAATCCATTCCATGTTTTACGCTCCACCTCGACGTCCTCAACACTGTAAATCACCCCGGGTTCAACTGATTTACCAAGTCTGACATTGGTGTTTACCTGTGGACGCCCAAATATGCCGGGATATTCGTAGTCTGATAACCTAAATTCCCGTCTTGCCTTGTTCTTCACCCTTTTGACAAGTGATGTAATTTTCGGCCCTGAACTTGCTGCACCTGCTGTGTGTTCACTATGACCTTCTACAACAACGACAGCTGCGCCATCCTTTACATTGCCATCAGCTACTGTCTCTGCATTTATGGGCCTGCAGCTACCCTCACCCCTTGCCACAGTTGTACGTACAATCCCATCTGCAAAGTCATCTGTCAAATCTTCAATCCCAGGGTCACTGTCAACAAGTTGTAATTCGTTGATCCGCACGTCTTCGGGTTGGCCTCTAGGACATGCAGACCGCTGCGCACTTTCGCAACTCGTCACATTGGCAGACCCACTCACTTTGCCTGACAGACTATTACTTGGTGTTCGCTGATTGGATCCATCATTCACAGCTAATTGTGTGACCTCGTGAACCTCAAGGTCATCAAGACTATCTTCCAAATTGCTTATTTTTTTGTCCAATCGATCAACCTGCTTGGTGAGCCGTGCAATTTCTCCATCCTTATCCACAATCACAGTATTTAAGTTTGCAAACAAATTAGCAGCATGCCGCCCGAGCAGTTTTTCCAGTGTTTCCACACGCTGTTCCAGTTCACATATCTGTACATCTTTCATATTGATCTCACTCTCTAATTCAGTAATTCTGGCTTTACAAGTTATCAGCTCATCGCGCACCCCTCTTTGTTCCTCACCCACGTCTTCACCGTCTGGAGTGCTGGACAGTTCCAGAAGATCTGGGAACAATACCGGCCAAACCTCTCCATGTGACACCAGCTTCCCAGCTACTTTTTCCTTGCTGGTCGGTGTTCTAGTATTTTTATTGTCATAGTCATTGGCCCCCTCTATTTTCATGTTACCCTTTGTTTTTTTGGCCGGCTGCCAACAATTGAAGCTCAGCTCCACGCTGCCAACATCATCTGTCTCAATCACAGCCCTGCGTTCATCGCACACTCCAGGTGGTTCCACATCCACCCTAATTCTACTACATTCTTTTGGTTCAATAGCAGCAGCAGGCACCTTCAGAATATGACATTCATTAATCATCCCAACAAGTTTGCCACACTGGACCTAATGAAAGTTACCAACAAAACGTAGCACAATTTCAATGTTTTGGTTTTGAAAAAATTTGCAAAACAATTAAAAGGGTTCTAATTGCATACCTCAAAGCAACCTTCTGACGACAAATTTATTACTCTTAGTTTGCCCACAGCGGCTGCAATGTTCCATCGACAAAATCGTGGTGTCACGTCAGGTCGTTCCGGAGCGACGATGTTTGAATGCTCACAAATAAGGAACTGAAATTACACCATGAAACATCCGTTAAATACACACTGAAATGGGTTATATGTTTTAACGCTGAATTTGAACCACCAAACAAGCAAAAAACATGCGTACCAGCAATGCTACTACGCAACCTGTGGCCTTCTCTGGCTTATTGTGCATCTCATTTAGTGACCCAATCAATGTGTTTCTTATTGTTGCACTCCAGTCATAGTGCTGCAACGTGTCTAGTTTGTCAATCACACGGACAAATGCCCAACCTATATGCTCGCCGGTTGTTGCGAAAAATAACTTGGCGCACACATAAAGACACAACAATTTCGCCACATCTTCTTCGTCACGCTCCGTACGACCACAGATGGCTTCTCCCAGCAAGTCCTTTATTAGTTTTGACGAAATTCAGGTAACATTTGCGCAGCGTCTTTGCATGAAATCAGACGACCCTTTCCCACCCTGTGTCATATCCAATTTCTCCCTCCCATATTGTACCCCAAAGATCAACCTGATGTCGTTGTTGCGCAATGGTAACTTAGCTCCACCGATGTGGAATTTCTCATCTTCAGGGTTGTAAGTTTGTATTATTCGACATACCGTCGCATCACATTTTTTGAACATTTTAGGATCCAGCTGGTTAGCCCGAATAGCATCAATCATCAGCCAGAATGGCGTTCTCTGCAACTGTCTGACGTGGCCATCGCGTAATTCCAGTTCCAGAACTGTGCTAATCAGCCCTGATATGTTTGAACGGTACATTAATTTCGACGTATCAACATCAGCTCTCTGAACAGGATCACCCGGCCCTTTCTGTTTCTTGAAAGGGAGCTTTGCTTGTCGTTTACTGGGTTGCCTTGTCGATGTGTGTGGTGACCTCAAGCCAATTTTCCGTTTACCAGTCCTACTGCCACTGCTACCTGAACATGTTTTACATTCAAATCAGAAGAAACAAATTAAAACTGCCAACACAAAACATAAAATGTCATGATGCATTACCATGAAAAACTGAATCTTTTACACCACCACATGTTCCGGCATCAGGCAATTTACCAGAAGAACACCAACTTTTATGCCCCATGTCATGCCATCAAAGTAAAATCTGAACTCAAACATTAACATCACACAGGCAAACTCTGGTTTTCATGTCATCGCGCACTAGGCAACAAGTACGTACTGCATGCATTATATGAAGTACTAACCACTATCACTTCCCAACTAACTAATTTTATTGTTCTGTACTACATTTTGTACAAATGCAACGAGCTGTAGCTATGCATTTCAACAATAACATCCAACAATTAAAGTGACGCTATGTAGATTATGTCAATGGATTGAAGAACAATACAAATGCGTCACCACTTCAATATGACTTTCACAACGTCAAACACGCTACATAACATGATTACGACTACGCATTGGGCAGCAAAACGTAAACAAAAAAAAAAGGGGGCCCCGATTTGAAATTTGTGATTACATCACCGACATGAATCTTGCACAACATTACACTTTCCTTCAATGTAAAAAGCCCAAAAAAAAATACACACACCCCCACAGGTTAAGATAGTATACACCAACAAACAAATAGGTAAACCATGTTCCCCTCAACCCCCCTATCCCCCCCCCAACCAAATTCAGGGAAACCCAGTACACACTTGATAATAAAATTGCATTACCATTTCATTTACATTCAACGCAGTAACATTACGACAAAATCACAAAAAAACACCCAACTTAACAGGACAAGAACATTGACAACCTACTTTCCGAGAAGACGCATGAATTTCTCAAAATCGCACCCAAAAAACAACACTAGTTCAGCGTACATTTTTAACAATTTCATGTATTTCACAAATCCCACAACATTAACCACTTCCCATAATATTTCACCCATAACTCCACAACTTCGTAATGTAAATGAAATCAAGGGTTTACGTACAGAGGCGCTTAACGTACCTGGAACCATTTTCGGGCGCCTACGAGGATTTTCCGCTCGCTATTTCGAAGCACAAAAGTGTCACAAGCAACTACACCGCAGGGTTTGATGTATCAACAGCAAAGGGGTTTTCGTATTTGATGGGGATTACGGTAAAACACAAAATGCTATTCTGTTGACCTGGAATTCACATCGTCAAGCAACATTCTGCAACTGCAATGCCTGACATGCCGCCATTAACATCGGAGAACTGTTCAACCTTCCATACACGACTCTTCGATTACGGGTTTGTTTGGAGGGAAACAAATTTCTACAGAGGACAGGTTTGGGGCATTCCAGTCATTACGCCGTTGGGGGTTTACTTAATTACCCTTACTAAAACGCGTAAACATTACATTGAGGCGGGTTTAGTTGTCAATAACATTATGTTAGGACTAATTGGATCATAAGATAAAAGATAGGACTAAATGGAACATAAGATACATATTTGGGATTTATTGGTGCGTTGCCCTTTTTTTTATTTTTTTCTTTTCTTTTTTAGTAAATTGTTTAAAAAATTATAATCACAAAGCTTTAGGCTTTCGTTTTTACTCGACTAGATAAATCAAAAAAGTAAAAAAATATTAAAAATTTGAGAAAAAAATTCTTAAAAGGACAAGAAAAATCAAAATTAGTTTACCTTTTATTTTTGGATTTTTTTTTAATATTCATCTACAAAAGATAAACTGAAAAGTTTAAATAAAAAAAAAACAAGATAACAAGAGATAAAAAAATAAAAAATAAATAAAAAAGTTCAAAAAAAAGAGAGGAAAAATTAGCAATACATACTCATATAGTTGGGTAGTAGGAAAGATCCAACATAATTTTCGTTCCCAGTTAAGATCCCTCAGTGCCAACATAATTTTCGTTCCCACTTAAGATCCCTCAGTGCCAATGGCAAAGGGAGGTGAGGACCAGGGGGGTCACATGCCCCTCGATTTTGGATTTTTTTTTTTTTTGCAAATATAAAAAAAAATTAAAATAAAAAAAATTATAAAAATATTATTAGAGTGATATGTCAATAACATTTTAAAAATTATGAGAACAATAATGGTTATTTTGATTGAAAATGAAGAGAATATTATAAATCATATTATCTATGAAAATTTTACGAAATTTTTTGAATGTAAAGATAATGTCATTATTATTAACATGCAAGTATAAGTAATCTCACTATAAAAATATGTAATTTATTAGATTGTTAGTTACATTTGACATGTGAAGTTCACTTTCTGTGTGTTTATTTATTATTAATTGAGGATATCACATACTAATGATGACGTGGTATTACCATTATATTGAATTTTTAATCAATTTTTGTATAAAAAAATAATTTATCATTATATAATTTATTTTAAGACTTACATCTGTATCTTTTTATATTATTCATGATACACTAGTTATAAATAATATTATTTTTTTGATGTTTCTCGAAATCAATTGTAAAAACTTGTGTGAAATATTTTAATAAAAATGTTTGATATTGTAATTAATAAGTGTCCCCTTTAATTTAATTTTTTTGCTCCACCACTGCTCAGTGCTATTATTTTAGTAGCTTAGGTCTTTTATCCTACCTATTAAATTGTTTAAGTGATTCCAAAATTTTTAAATTTAATAACTTTTTATTTACATCTCTATTTTTTCTAAAATTTATATTTTTAGAATCGTATTGACAATATCTTTTAAACAAGATTAATGAGTAATATGAAGTTAGGAAAAAAACAATTCATGAAATTTCACTGACTCACTAACTTGGTCATAGAAATTTTACTAATCAACCGAAATTTTACTGACTTAGACTTAGTCAGCAAAATTTCAATGACCAACTGAAATTTCACTGACTTGTCTTAGGTCAGTGAAATTTTGTCAATTTTTCTTTTAGAATTTTGTATTCATCATGAATCTTATTTTATTGATCTTGATGAAATGATTATAAAAATATAAATTTTATAAATTCAAAAAAAAAAAAACAGAGATCTAGATCAAAAATTATAAAATATTAAAATTGTCAAATAAATTAAAAAGAAGTTATAAAATGTCACCATATGTTTTGGAGGATCTAAACTAATATAGAAAATTTTGTTGTCCTCATCATTCTGAAAAAACATTATCAGGGATCTTAAATTAAAACCCCTCCAAAAATATTATGACTTATTTTAAAGGGTTAATTCATTTTATTATTGGAGTACTTTATCCTTATATGGTTAAAATATAGCCAAAAAAAACCCCATGTAGTCTTGGAATAAAGGGTCACTGTTAGTTTTCATCAAAACTGGTGAAAGCTGTATCACATGCACTAACTTTTAAAGTGAGTTTTTTTTTTTTTTTAAAATAAAGTGAAATTAAAACAACAAAAACATAATTTTACCTCCATTTTCTCTCAACCTAAAATTAAATTAATATGTTAATTAAAATAAAATAAATAAAAATATAATTAAGGATTAATTTAAAATATAAAATATAATTAAGAATTGATTTAAAATATAATTAAATAAAAATAATTCATGATTCATGATTGATGTACAATGCATGTAATGCAACGAATATATAATTGAAAATAAAAGTCATATCATAGAATTTGAATCAAGATTTCATAATATCTCTAGCAGAGTCGCCAAAAATGTAACCTGCCCGGAGAGTACCCGTACGTGCTAAACCGTTTGGACCCTCGACTTCTTTGATCTAATCTCACAAATGCAATGTGAAACATAAATGAGAGTCTAAATCCGACAATTTTTATAGAAAATCCATTTTATTGCAAAACATTTGCCAGAAATTGATTGCATTACCAGATCTCAGAGTTGCCACCTAATATTTTTGGAAAAATTAGAAAACCTGTGACTCGTGTCAAGGCCACTATTCGTCATAATCAAGGATGTTTGGCTCGGAACCTAAGGTATGAAGGGGGAAGGTCAATAATTGAGCACCCTCCGCTCACCCAATCAAAAGATCAACCTCTACTAAACCATGATATGAATTTTATTAACTTTATATGTTCGTGTTCTAATTATTAATAATCTTAAAAATTACTATGTGAAAGCAAACAAGTATAGACTGTGTCATTCATTTTGGAACAAATTAATTTCATATATTTTGAAGAATTTGAATAATGTTTAACTCAACAGAAATTGAGTTGACAAACACGAAAATTGATATTATTCTAATTTGAACAATACAATCTTCATCCACTGACATTCATAGAGATATATCAAATAAGCAAATAGTTACATGATAGAATGATAAACATAATAAGAAAAACACACAAAAGTGGGATGCTAAAACATAACAACTTGCATATTTTTCGATGTTTTGCAAATAGTTACAAAACAAAATTAGTGAAATATGCATGATCTTATATATAAAATCCTAATACAATTCACTCATGAAATGCAACTAAAGATTTGGCTTCTAATATAGGACATGTGAATCATCTCAAGACATGAGCTAGCGTACAAAATCACATATGAATTGATTAAACTCGTAGATGCAAATGAGCTAAATCTAGATGCTTGAAATATGGATGCAGAATATAGATATGATGAAAAATAAAATATAATACTATTTACAAAATATGAAAAGCGAGTAAATAAAAGAGATGGAAAAAAGTGGGGGTTGAGAATTATTACAACACTGAATAATTATAAAACCAAATAAAATAAAATAAAAGACTTGGGACTGAAAATTATTACAACAAAATCATAAGAATATACAGAAGAGATTTAACTAAAAACTACAATCATCCACCAGAAATCGCCTTGTTTATTGCTTGGGAAATACTCTGTTTTTGGGAATTTCTGTTTTTCAAGCAGCCAAACCAAGACAAAACAAATAAAACCTTTCCAAGAGATACATATGTACAAAAAGCTATCAAATGGAAAATCTAACAAGTATAAGAATTGAAGTTAGGAAACACAAAACCAAAGAAATAGATGGAAAACTACATTCATCTCTTTGTGAATAAGAGTAAATTAATACTCAAATCTATGCTATTAATTAGACAAAGTAGATTGCCATCATTTCAAAGAGGAAGTCTTACAAATCTTGTGAAAACTCTATAGGACTTTTAAGAAAATAGGGAAGAAATGGAGAAAAATACATATAACTCATCAAAAGTAGTTAAATACTCATCTGCTTACTCATGAAATATGTATGTAAAATACATTTTCATGTTCAAAATTGGTCGAGAAGAGAGTTTTTAACATTTTTAATGGAGTTTTTATAACTTCAATTATATATTTACATCACATACTCTAAATATCACATATTTAATAAAGAACATATAAGAAAATGAATAAGAAGAAATCTAAGGAACAACTTCCACAACCTAATATCACATATTTAATAAAGAAAATACAAAAAAAAAAAGAAATCTAAGGAAGAGAGGCTCAGCGTTTCACTTCCATAATCTAAATATCACATATTTAAAACAATAAAGAAAATATACGAAAATAAATGAGAATGTTGTAAAAATTCACCTTTGGGGGAAATGGTGGATTTTTTTATTTATCAAACTTTCTTTTTTATACCTTCACGGTTATGCATATTTAAAACAATAAAGAAAATATAAGAAAATAAATGAGAATATTGTAAAAATTCACCTTTGGAGGAAATGGTGGATTTTTTGATTTATCAAACTTTCTTCTTTATACCTTTACAGTTATGGAGTATGCTTTAAAATCTCAGCAAGAAGTTTTGAGTTTTAGCATTAGTGGAATTTTGGGTGGTGTATATCAGTGGAATATCAGTGAAAGGTTAGAGGTTTATATCTTACTTTGTATTTTCTCTCAAGTTTTAACAAATTAAATTTTGTTTTGATCAAAACTAAGACCTCTGGTTTCATAGCTCTAATAGTCTTCTATATATAGGCCAAGAGCCAAGACCCCTTCATTTTTTGAAAAGTCAATTTTGAAAAGACAACACCCCTTCCTTTTTTTGAAAAGTCAATTTTGAAGAGCCAAAACCCAGTCATTTTTCTAAGAGCCAATTTTGAAGAGTTAAAACCATTCATTTTTTGAAGAGCCAATTTTGAAGAGTCAAGACCCATTTCTTTTTTTGAAGAGCCAATTTTTCCAAAACTGCTAAATTTTTCGGACAAGAAAAATGCGAAAAAATATTTTTGAATAGGTCTAAAATAATTTGGCCAAAACGGGTGTAAGGTTGGAATTAAAACTTAAATCTAACTTTTCTGCTAAGAAATACGTAAAATAACATATTCCAATTTTCATCATCGGGTGATCAAAAGAAAGCATCCAAGTCTTAAGGCCAGTCAAAATGGGGTGTCTACAGTTGGCCATCTTTGACAGAGTTCAAAGTCATTTTATGACATGAGTAAATGTAAAAGCCCGGAGACGATCCTTTTGATGATGCTATAAGACTTAGGCAAACAAATAAGATGCAAATGCAGTTGGTTGAACCCAAGGGTTGCCAGCGTGTCCCTTTGCAAGGAATCAAACCAACGTAGTTCAAGGACAGAATGAAAATGACATGCTCAAAATGCAATTTGAAAGTTAGACTTGCATGCTTTGCGCAACCTGTTGTTTCAAAAATTCATGATTTACAATGCAATGCAATGCAACAAATAATATGCAAGGATATCCTCGTGCAAATGATATGAAGCACAACAAGGAATACAATCCAAACACACTCACATAAGAGAAATAACTGTAATCGATGAATAGTTTTAATCTACAACCCAAAACAGAAGAGGTATTAACCGAAGATGGTTTGAACTGACAACCCGAGAAAGAGATAGTATCGTCATCCCGAAGAGGGGCCAACATTAACCGATGAAAAAAGGTTGTAATCAAATATTAATGTGAATAAATTATAGCCAAGTGATGCAACAGCGCGATAATTGTAACCATGCAAATGATATACTAATGCAAATGAAAGTTGAATTTTTCTTTTCTTTTTTAAAGTACGTGATTTATACGATGCACTATGTAATATATGGTGAGGCAAGCCTCGTGCAAATGAAGTAAAACAAAGGGATACAATCTAAACACACTCACATAAGAGAAGAAAAGAGGGGTTTAATCAAACA